TTAGTTTTAATTTTTTTTCTTTTCTTTTTTTGTTCGTTCGTTCGTTCGTTATTTTAAAATCTTTATTTCTATGTTGCGAGAAAAACGTGACAAGCATGGAGGAGGAGGAGAGGGAGGGGAAGGAAGAGAGGGAAGGGGAGGGAGTAATTGAGCAATTCAAAATGAAAAAAAAAAAAAAAATATGCTTTAATTAAAAATGATTTCGCAACGAGTTGTTTCTTTTTTCTTTTTTTTTTTTTTTTGTTTTCAAATATTCTTTTCGAAGAAAGAAAGAAATAAAGAATGAGACCCAAATTAAATTTAAAAATAAAAAAAGAGAAAAGAAAAATGCGCGAACGGAATGAGAAAATAAAAGAGAGAGAGAGAGAAATAATAAATAAATAAAGTAAAACTTGATTTTTTTAAATTAATTAATTAATTAATTTTCGTGTTGTGTGCGTGTGCGTGTTTGCTCGCGTGTGAGTGTTTGTTTGTTTGTTTTCCCCCCCCCCCTTTCTCCCTTTCTCCCTTCCCTCTTACCCCTACTCCTTTCCACCCCATCCCCCGTTTGAATGGTTTCGTTTGTTATTGTTGTTGATTTTTTAAATTAAAAATAATACGGGAAACCTTTTTTTATTTTCCTCCTCCTTTTCTTCTTCTTCTTCCTTCTCTCTCTCTCTCTCTCTTTCTTTCTTTCAGAAATAAACCAAAAGAAAAGTTAAAAAAAAAAGAGAAAGAAAAGAAATGCTTAACGTTTTTTCAGGGGTTTCGTATATAAATTTTAAATTAAAAGAAGTTTTCCGAGGAAAACACACACAGAGGAAAATAAAATTACGTTTTATTTTTCGGTTGGTTCAAATTTCGGGTCGAAAAAATTTAATTTATTTTTTTTTTTAAATCCCAAAGAATGTTTTCCTTTTTAAATTTTATTATTACTCGTTTTTACTATTACTCCTACTATTATTATTATTATTTTGTTTTTGTTTTTATTTCGTTACCTTTCCAAAAAAAAAGAAAATGGCGGATTTTTAGTTACGATTTATTTTCGAATGAAAAACAATTCGATGGTGAAAATTTCGTACTCGATATCCCTACACGTGTGTGTGTGAAAAAATAGGAAATGACGATTCCGGTTTCGTGACGTAATAAATCGTTTCGAAAATTTTTTACTTTTCCTCTGACGTTTTCCTCCTCACTTTCAAAAATCGATTTCATTAATAAATAAATAAATAATGATGATGATAATAATAATAATAAATGTTTTTGTCAATTTTCTCTCGAGTCGTGTGACTCTCCGACATTGCCAAACTTTTTTTTTAAAAAAAAACCGAAAACCTTCTTTGGAAAGTTTTTTTTTTTTTTTTTATTTCCCTTTCCTACTTTTACCCTCCGTGCCCCCTCCCCGCCGCCACCGCCTTTTCGATCCTCCCGAAAATATGTTTAACCAATTAGAAAAAAAAAAAAAAAAAAAAAACAAGATAAATTGTTTTAAACTTTTCCTTTTTAAATTTTTGACAAATACGATATATTTGAAATCGATTCGAAATCGATACCTCGAAAACTTTTTTTTTTTAAATATTGGAAACCCCTTAACACAAAAACCTTTTTTTCCCTTTTGTTGTTTTCGAAAAAAAAAAAGAAAAAGTAAAATGGAAAATTTTTAGAAAAACGGAAAACGTGACCCTTCTTAACAGTTTTCTACTTATTTATTTATTTATTTTATTTTTATTTTTCCTTTTTTTTTTTTTGAAATGGAAATTAAAACGAATTTTAAAATTTGCGCGCGCGCGCGCGCTAAAGTTGGGATTTTTGTCGAAAGAATGAAAATTGAATTTTTTTTTTTTTTTTTTATTATTAACACGTTATTGAAAAATAAATTTATTTTGTTAATATATTTAGAGGTTGCGTTTGTTTAACCGCGTTTGTACGTTTGAAGAGTTTATTAAAATTCAAAACGTTTTTTTCCCCCCGTCGTCGTCGTCGTTTGTCGTTTGTTGTTTTAAATTTTATAAACGATACGAGGGGTTTGTTTACGGATTGTTACGGATTGTTGTTTGTACTCTCGCAAAGTTTTTTTTTTTTTTTTTTTTTTAATATTTAAAATAACGATAAACTATTTTAGGGAAACGTACGAACGATTAAGAAGAAAACCTTCTGGAAAATTCCACGAAAGTTTTAAAAGAAAATTGCGACATTTTGATTATTTTTTATCCGTTTGTTTGTTTTCCTTGTTTGTTTTGATTTTTAATGATAAAATACGTTTTAAAATATTAAATTTTCACGTTTGCGAATTTAAATAGAAAGTTTTCACGTTGTCGTCATTGTTGTTGTTGTTGTTGTTGTTGTTGTTTGTTGAATATACAATCGTCGGGTCTTAAAAGTCGCAAAGTTCGCCCGTCGCACACGCTTGTTTGTTTGTATTTGTTTGCACACGCATTCCGAGAGAGAGAGAGAGAGAGAAAGGGGGGGCGGGAAGGGAGAGTAAGGGAATTCATTTGTTTTTTTATTTTTATTTTCGTTTTTTTTTTTTATCCTTTTCTATTTTCGCCTTATTCGTCCTTTTCGTAACATTTAAGAAAAATTTCAATTCGACGTCATCGTTTTGTTTGTTGTTGTTCTTGTTATTTTCTTCATTTCAATTTTTTAAAATAAAAAATTTTTTTTTGTTTTTGTTTTGTTTTGCTCCTGTTTTACTTAAAAAAAATTTTTTTCTCATCGTAAAAAAAAAAAAATAACGGAAAAACTAAAAAACTTGGGTTTCAAAACAACCGACAAACAAGACAACCGACCGACCGATCTACCGACACAAGGAAAAACTTAAAATAAATAATAAATGAAAAAGAGAGAGAGAGAGAGAGAGAGTGAGACAGACTTCGACTCAGATGCAAACTATAAATATTTATAATTCTGCGGTGTGTTTTTTTCTTTTTCTTTTTTTTTTTTAAATAATTTAACACACGAGAGAGATAAGAAAAACGTCGTGGAAAAAGAAAAAATTGCGGGGATGTAAGTCGAAAGGATAAACAACCGGAAAAAATGAAGGAAAAGAAGAAAAGGGTTTTTCTTTTTCTTTTTTTTTTGAATGTTTGTTCGAGTGAAAATTTTTTCAGACATTTTAAATTTTTCGTGATTTACAAGGAGGGATCCTACTCGTAGATTTTCTACTTAATTTCGGTTTAAAAAGAGGAATAATATTAATTAACCGTAAAATTCGTGAGAGTAAATTCCCAAATTATTATTATTATTATTATTTTCGTTCTATTCCTTCCCATTTTTTCCCTTTTTCCTTTTTTTTTATCCCGAAAAAGAAGAAAAAAAAAAAAAGAGAGAAAAAAAAGTGAAAAAATGAGAAAGAATGACATTGTCATTTTTTTTTTTTTTTGGTACTCTGAAGAGCGAGAATAAAAAAAAGAGAGAGAGAGTGAGAGGAGGGGGGAAAGGAGTGTTAGAACGAGAGGAAAAGGAAATTACAAAAAGGTTAAAAGGTTTATAAATGTGATTAAAATGAATAAATAAAAATTTACTTGCGAGAAAAAAAAAATTTTTCTTTTTTTCTTTTTCTTGATGGAAATACAAAAAAAATGAAAAAAACGTGGGATCGAATTATTATTATTATTATTATTATTAATTTTTCGAATTGTGTCTCTTTTCGCCCCCCTCCCCCCCCCCCCACGAACGCCGTTCACGTTTGAAACTTTCTAAAAAAAATTTTAATTTTCATTTTTTTTACAATTTTTTTCTCCCCGAGGCTGACATTTTTATTTTTTCGTGTCATTCGTTTGCGTCAATTGTTTAGTAATTAAAATACAAAAGAAAGAAAGAAAATTATCATTATTATAATTATAATAATTATTATTATTACAATTAATATCATTATCGTCGTTTCCGTTGTTGTTGTTGTTGTTGTTATGTTTATGTCCGTAGAATTTTTTTTTTCTACGTCGCCTTTTAATTAATGAATTTGTCGTCTCTTTATTTATTTAATTAAAAAAAATTTTTTTTTTTCTTTTTTTTTTTTCACGAACCGGAAATCGAGTTTCGATAATAAAAACGCGCGCGTTTGTTTCGCGTAAACGAACGGCGGTAAAAAAAAAAAAAAAAAAAACGCGCGCGTGCAGCCCGATCGGTTTTCGAACGTTTTTTAATTAATAAAATTAATTTTTTCTCTGTTAAAAAAAAAAAAAAAAAAAAAAAAATGGAAAGCGGGAGGGAGAGGGGAATAAAAACGCGCGTTTTTTATTTGCTCTTCCCTCCTCCTCTTCCTCCCCATCCCCCCGCTCCCTCTCTCTCTCTCTCTCCTCTCTCGTTTCCATCTCCGGGAAAAAACGATGATAAAAATTTTTTAATTAAAATTTGAAACATATGTAAAAATTAATTACAAAGCGGTACGGAAAATCGGCTTAAAAGGGAACTTATTTAAAATTTATACACTTAAAATGAAATTTGTTATTTTACATTTAATTAAATTAAAGTGGTAATCGAATAAAATTTTTTTTTTTTTTTTGTGTGTGACGTTGGTAACAATGTAAAGTTTTCTCTCGTTGGGTCGGTTGGTTGGCTGGCTCAGTTCTCCTTTTTTTTTTGTTTCGTTCCGTTTCCGTTTCGTTCGTTTTGTTTTATGCCGCCCTTTTATTGACCACGTGAAATTGTATCGTTATTATTATTATTATTAATTTTTTTTTTGTCGTCGAAACCACTTTCGTTTTTTTTTTTTTTTTTTTTTATTATTTTAATTGCCCTTCTCGAACTGTTCAACATGTCGACCGGATATCGATTTATTAATAATAATAATTTTTTTTTAAATACGTTCGAACGTTTTTACGACGATAAAATAAAATGTTTGATGATTCCGCTTCCGATTAATTGACTATTAATTTTTTTTTTTTTTTACTGGAAAAGTTTTAAAACTGTTTGAAAACTTTTTCCTTTTTTTTTTTTGTTTCATAAATTATAATTTTTTTCTCGCATGCATGTTAAATAGAAAAAAAAAATTTTTATCGTTTTTGTTGCTGTTGTTTCAGGATATACGTTATCCAGTTTATTGTTAACAACGAGACCGTTTCCGTTGACCAACAGCGTTTTAGGCGAAGCTAAAAGGTGTTACGACACTCCAAACATATGGTCATCGTGCACGTGTCATTTGGAAATGTGCATAGGATGGTATCCGTGCGGTCTCAAATACTGCAAGGGAAAATTTCTAGATAAATCTTCAACGAACAGTAACAGCAGTTATCGTTGCGGTATAAAAACGTGCAAAAAGTGTTCTTTGTTTTCCTATTACGTAAGACAAAAACAGTTGTGCCTGTGGGATGAATGACCCAAATTTCGAAGGGTATCGAACTCTTGGTGACGACAACGGCGACGGCGACGAAAGCGACGGCAGCGACGGCAACGGCAACGACGGCGTTTGCGACGATGACGATGACGACGATTTTCCGGTATAAATGATTCATCAATTGATTGATAATTGTGTCGACAATATTTTTTCCCTCTTCGATTTCTTCGTGACGTCAATCGTCAAAAATTATTTTTACATTTAATACGCGGCCAAAAAAAAAAATTATTATTATTCATCACGCGACCGCTAATGATACAGTAATAATAATAATAATAATGATAATAATAATTTTAAGGTGAAAACTTCAGAAAAAAAAAAAAAAAATTCAAAAATTGTTTTCTTTGTGTCACTCTCGAAACTTTTGTGAATTTCTTCGAATGTTTTTTTTTTTTAACCGGTAAAAAAATTTTTTTGTTGTTGTTGTTGTCGTTTAATTTATCCTTGATTAAACAATTGTTTGTTGAGATTGGTTGTCGGTTGTTTCCGTTGTTAAAAAAAACCGCTAATTTTAAATTCGAATGAAAAGGCAGTCAAAAATGAAATTGTTTAATAATGTACGCGTGCTGTGAATTCGTTCGTTGGTCTGTTTTTTTTTTTCCACTCTTTACTCCTGGAAAATTAAATAAAAAGGGGAGGAGAGGAGATAAAGGGGATTCCAAAGAATTAATGAAAAATAAGCAAACAAAAAAAAAAAACAAAAAAATTTTCATTTTCCGACGCGTAAAACGTCGAATTCGACGTAATCGGCGATTAATTAGATAGTTAATTAATTAATTTTGTTTTTCTCTCTTTCTCTCTCTCTCTCTTTTGCACGGGGTTGTTTTCAACAAACAACAACAAACGATTTCGTAACGGTTTTTGTAATCTGAGTGATGGCGCGATCGGAAATTAATGACGGCGCGAATTTCGACGATAATACGTATAAATTTTAACATATCCGCCGCTTTACATCCAGTAATTCCTGTATCGATTTTGTCGTGGCAGAAGATTTTAAAAAACGTTAAAATTTATTTTAATTTTTTTCAAATGATATTTTCGAATTCTTTTTCACTCGTGTCACATCTCGTTTAACGTTTAATTATCGTCGATTGAAATTTATTAATCGATTAATTAATCGATATCGCGACGTGACGTAATTCAGAGAAGTTATGTTTGGCGTCGTATCATAACTCATCTTCTTTTTCTTCTTCCCCTTCTTTTTGATTTCGATCACGTATTAAATTTTTGAAAAAAAAAAAAAAAAAGTTTACGTCCTCCATTTTTTTTTTTCTTTTAAAATTGCCGTAACAACCACAACACATTTTTCTGTTCCATTTTTTTGTTTTTTTGTTTTTTTTTTTTTTTAAACTGGTAATTGCTGTTTGATTCCAAAATTATTTATAATAGATTCGAATATTTTAAAAACGAAAACAATAATAGTTTGTGTTCAACAGCACAACAACCAAAACAACAAACAGCAGCATCGGCAGAAACAAAAACAAAAAAATTCCGAAAAAGTCGGTCACAGATCGTATATCAATCCTTACAAATTTTTTAAATTTTTATTTCGAATAGTAAACGTGTAACCACTCGAAAAGGTCAACGATGAGAAAACAATTCGAAAATTTTCCAACAAACAAACAAACAAAAAAAAAAAAATTGCAATTAAATTTGAATTATTTCTTTTTTTTTCTACCAACTAAAAAAAAAAAAAACTTTCAAACAATATTTTATCGTGAATTTTTCTTTCGTTCGAATTAATTTGAAATTTTCTAATGACACGTCGACGCGACAGACCAAAAAAAAAAAAAAAATGACCGAAACACCGGTAATAATCGAAACGTATAATTTACAAAGTTGTATAATTTTAACGTTTTCGCGTTTGAAAATGTTTTCGTTATTAACAACCCACCCCCTCCCTCCCCCCGAGTACCGCCCCCCTCTTATCCCCCATACACGATGAGAATTCCTTGATTGTTTCACATTCGAAACGAAACGAAATTTTCGCATTAAAATTATATATGGATTAAAACAACCACCACTCTGGAAAAATTTCGGAATTACGATTTACACACACACACAAAGACTTTCGAACGTTCAAAGGAAATCCGGGGGGGGGGGAACCGTTAGAGAGTAAAAATTAATAATAATAATAATAATACCTGAAATCTATTTTTTTTTTTTTTCAAAATTGTAGTATGTAAAAAAAAGAAAGAAAATGAGGGCGAATGAGAAGAGATCTGAACTCTCTCCATTATATTTATTTTCCAGAAACTTTTTTTTTTTCTCTTTTATTACACGTGTGAAACGCGTGTATTTTTTTTTTTTTTTTTTTTTGAGGGATTTTACGACGTTTATAAAAAAAATTTCCAGAATAAACTCATAAATTATTTTTTTAGAAACAAAAAAAAAAAAAAAGTGGTAAAAGAACAAGAAGAAAAAAAGGTTATTCGAGTGTGGTTTGCGGTACTTGAAAAACGTTTGTTTGTTTGCTAATCACCTTTTTTTTTAATTATTTATTAATTAATTGTTAATTAATAATAAATTACCGTGGAATGGAGGGGGTGAGGTGAGAGGAGGCGAGGGGAGGGAGGGAAGAAAAGGACTTCAAAAGCAAAAAAAAAAAAAAACATCAACGGTCGAGTTTTTCCCCACTTCTCTCAATTACCACGACGACGACACGCGAATCGTTTTGACGCATTTTTTTTTTTTTTTTTTTTTGTACTGATGAATTGAAGTGTTTGTTCGTTTGTTTGTTTGTTTGTTTGTGATACCGATAAAATTTCCTTTTCATCTTTTTTTTTTTTCGTTTTAAAGTGCGTGTGCGTTCGCGCGCGTGTATGTGTGATTTTGTAAATAAAATAAAAAATTTTTCATTTATAATAATAATAATAATAATAATAATAATAATAATAATAATGATGATGATGATGATGATGATGATGATGAAAATAATGATAATCTTTGTACTGTTTCGTTCGGGTCAGTGAAAAAAAATTATGATGCGATTGAAATCGCGTCCGGATTTTTATTGTTTTTGTTCGTTGTTTTGCCAACTCGATCGACATCACGCGGCTGTGATGTTCGTCGACTCTCACCATCGATAATCGATAATTTCGAAAAAATCGTAAACGTCATAAAAAAAAAAAAGTCTTTACTCATAGTCTAAGTAATGTCGGTGGGAGTGGTGGTGGTGGTGGTAGTGGTGGGAATGGTGTTGGTGGTGCCATCGTAATAAAAATTAAATTCTACGAAATTTTTTTTTTCATTTTTTTTTCATTTTTAAAATATTTCCACGCGAAATCGTTCCCGTTAATTAATTCGTTCCCGTTCGCTGGAACATTAAAAAAAAAAAATCAACGTTTGAATCTCTTTTGCTTCCGACGATCATAATAATATTAATAATAATAATAATCATTATTATTAAAAAAAATTTTTTTATCCGGGAAATGAGAAAAAAAAAAATTCCATTTAATTTAATTACGTATAACCGGTTATTGAAAAATTTTTGCCGCGCATTTGCCGTCGTCGTCGTCGTCGTCGTCATCGTCATCATCGTCGTCGTGTATTTAGTAAAAAATTTTCACAAAAAGTTTTCTTAATTAATTAATTAATTAATTTTTTTTTTTGTTAACAATAAAAATTAAAAATTATCATCGTTCGCTTCACTACCGTCGTCGTCATCATAATTTTTTATTATGAATAAAAAAAAAAAAGAATTTAATAATTATTATTATTATTATTAAGTATCATTATTATTACTATTATTACTATTGAATAATGAGAGTCTTCCGATTCGTGTTAACACAACACAGGTATATTTATTAATTCTTTTTTTTTTTTTTTTGTTTGTTCGTTTGTTTGTTTGCGTTTTGTTTTCGTAGTATTATTCGCTCATGTTATTTATTATTATTATTATTATTATTTTTGTTCGTCGGTGTTTTTTTTTTTTTGAATTTTCCTTTAATGTTTTGAAATAATAATAATAATAATAATAAGGAATTTTTTTTTTTTTTTTTTATTTAACTAACAAAAGAGCTCAGCGAAAACAAAGCGTTGAATTGTTTGGCGTTTGTTGTGCAACGCCATAAATAATTTTATTATTCCATAATGAATTCCACATTATCAACGCGCTGTGATATAATTTTTTTTTTTTTTAATAATCATCTCCCTTTGTCTCTCTCTCTCTCTTTCTGTCTTTCTCTCTCTCTTTTTTAATTTCCACACCTTTGATTATCACGATAGTAATGATAAAACGTTAATGACTTGTTAATATAATTAAATTAATTATAATTATTATTATTATGTTTTTTTTTTATTTTTAATTCGACGTCGACGTCATCATAAAATAATTATTATAAACATTTTCCATTATTATTATTACTATTATTATTATAATTATTATTATTATTGTTTAAAAATTTTTTTTTTTTTTTAATTTTAGAATTTTTTATTTAATTAATAATAATAAAAAATAAATAAATAAATTGTGTGAAAACAAAAAAACGATCGTGTAAATAATTATAAATAAATATATATAAATAAATAAATTTATTAATCGTATTAAAACATAGAAAAATTTATTAAAATTTCCCATCTATCGAGAACGAGTAAATCGTTTTGTTTGTTTGTTTGTTACGTCGGGTTAATTTTTTTTTTTTTTTTGCATAACGTCATAAATCCGTAAATGTAAAGGGATTTATTTTATTATTAATAATTATTATTATTAAATTATTAAAAAAAAAAAAAAAAAAAATTTATTAAATATCAAAAGTTATCATCATCATCATCATCATTATTATCGTAACGGAAATTTAAAAAATTTAATATTTAATTTTTGTTTTTATGTTTTCATGTTTTTTTTTTTTTTGTGAAAGTTAGGTAAATTTCAGAATAATTTACAAAATTTTAAAAGTGTTAAAAGTTATTTTAAAACCTTTCGGATAACCTTTCTTACCAAAAAAATAAATAAAAAAAAAAAAAAAAAAGGTTTAAATTAT